GATTAAGATGGGGCCAGGGGGCCCTGGCCAAAACTAGTAAAGGAACAAAAAAAATAAACCTCACGAAGGGGAATTAGTACTCGCTCGCCAGAACAAAGTAGGATTAGGCCACAAGTTGTGATGAGTTGTAGAAAAACTTTTCGTGAAGAATATGTCGGCGTCGGGGCAGGCCCGTGTACGTAAAACTGCCATCACAGGGGAGCCAAAGCTGATACGGCAGCTCTGTGGAGCGTGTGTTCGACGACGCAACCCGATCCGGCGCCTTCAGCATGTCTGTCATTGCTCTATTGCGTTTTGTCTTTAGCGCCTCGTCCAAATTCATCTTGCGCCACGTAAGCCAACGTCCTTCAGAGAGTATGAGAGGCTCTTTTAACGAACGCAAAAGTGCCCAACGTTGGGTGGAATGCAGAACTGTCTTCTGATGTTCATTACATGTCTGGCGCAAATGAACCAAGTCCACTGGCTCAAGATCAAATACTCGGTGCGGCTCCTGCCCCTGTAGCACTGCGATGCCCTCGAAGCCGTTCACGTCACTTGCGGGGAGCCACTTTAAGGACGTGTATCCGAATTGTGACCACACCGTAGAAAGCAAGCCTCCCACGACGTGGGAAAATGGCGCTCCTGTCAGGAAGTGGCTGTGATGGAGCGTGTCATCAATGAGAAAGGGATTGGATGTCTCCTGGGCGTTTAAAAGAAAGGCAGTCTGCGATGGTACGGATGGGACCGCAACACTCGCGTCCACAAGCAACGCCGTTTCAGAGGCGTCTTCGCCAGAAGCAAAGAGAGAGGCGTGGGCGTACTGGTCCAAGGTGGCCGGGGTCCAGGTCGGGGATCCGGCGGCGCCGGTCGTCAGCAGCATCCACCTTTCCGCATCCTTCACTGGAAGCGGCTGCATCTGCAGAAGCGTTTTCCGCTCGCGCGGAGCGTACTCCATGAGGCAAAAGATGCTGCGCTCCCCAAGGAGGTTGGCCCTGACGGAGATGCCCCCACGGCAGTGCAGCCGGTAATAGCCCCGTGCCTGCGCCGGAGAGAGCCACAGCGCGCTTTGAGCAGAAATGCCCTTCTGATGCCTGTGAAGCGTCTGCCGAAGCTCGGGGGACGTAACGCGGTGCCTCGTCAAGGCCCAATGCATGTGGACTTTACGGGAAGAATGGAATAAAAGAACAAAAAAAACAAGCGTAAAGCTAACAAAAACAAAAACGCGTGGCACGTAAGCATCACAGCCCTCGCAACCGTAGAGCACCAGCTGCGAAAACAGCAGCAGCATCAAAAACCGGTTTCGTTAGTCGCATGGCCACACACGCGGGCGGGGAGGAAACTAAAACAGAAAAAAAAGAGAAAGACGACACTAGTGAGCCTACTTAAAGGCTCCCACAGTGAGCAACTTCCAAAGTGTCTCTTCTCTCCCAGCATACAACTCCAGGACGGCGTCCATGTTTCCTAGAAGGTCCGGCCGTTGGGAGAGGAGGATTGCTGCAGCTTGGCTTCGGCGCAGCCTTGCATTTGCGTGGATGTCGTGTTCCGTCCATTGCGGATTACACAGGCCGAGTCGGGGGCAAACACTGCTCAGTTCGGGAAACCGGCACACGTCGCTGTGCGTCTTCTGCAGGCACCTTGGCTTCTCTCGCTGACTGAGACCCACCAGCGAAGAAAAGTAGTAGTTGCTGCAGGCGGCCACGCCACCAGGAGGGTGTGCCACCTCAATCCACAGCTGCGGCGGGTGCAAGTGCAGGCCAATCGAGCGAAGTACGACGGCTTCCACATACTCCGCCTCCCGACCATCATGCAGGTAACAAATAATAGGTGCTGCAGGGGCCAAAGGCGGTAAATGCAACCGCAACCGTCTTTGCACCGCCTCCTGCATGGGGCTATGCTGCAAGTTGTACCTTATCGACACAGCGGCGTAAAGGTCTCCAAGGCTATCAAAGTGAGTCAACAATTCAGTCGCTGTAACGCCGACGTATCCCACTGCCGCAAAAAACTGCTGAAGCAAACTCTCATGCAAGGCATATTCATCCTCTAATATCGTCGAGGAGGAAGCCGGAAGATGGGAAAGTTCACTCACGCAGCTCGCGGCGGCTACGGGGCTCTGAAGAGACCACTTCGGGAGAGTTGCAAGTGCCAGGGAACGCAAGCCCCCCTCAAGTTTCCCCTGAAGCTGCATGATTGCTGCAACACTCTCGTGCACAGCTGCACTCTTCTGCTGACGGGCCGTGGCCAACTCGCTCAGGATATTTGCATTGACCTCATGAATTGAGGCCAGCACCGCGGCCACCTGGACTCGATCTCTTGCCTGCTCCTGCAGCGAGCCTATCGCGTTTTCCACAATCTGCTGTTGCTCTGTCAGTCTCGTGACGGCTCCCAGTACCTCCAACAGGGACTCTTTTTCCAAAGCAGGTCCGTCACGCTTCAGCTCAACTCTGCATTTATCCCAGAAAGAGGCCATCTCCTGCTTCGCGTTCGCCACCTCGCGTACAAGCGACAGCAGCAACTCACTATTGAGCCCGTTCGCGTCGGCGGTCCGGGCTGGTGGAGGCCGCGTGGCGGCGGCGGGTGGGGCGCTGGACCCTTTTGCTTCCCCCGTCGGCACCGCCAACTTGCGTGGATCCGCCGACTCCCGCCCAGACGAAGATGTCTCACTCATGCGAGTGTTCGCTACCACGTGTGAGAAGCTGCACTTGTCTACACTTGAGCCCTTCACCTCTTTTTGTTCTTCATGCTGAGGCGCCACCTTCGGCCTTTTTGGAAGAATTGCAAGGAGACTACCGTCAGTGATGCCAATGGCGTCAAGGGGAAGATCTGTGGCAAGTGGCTCCTTGTCAATGGACTTTCCTCTGCCCGCGTAGAACGTGGCGGAAGCTATTTCTATCGTCTCGCCAATCGCCGCGGAGAGTGCGGGGAGTTGGGCGGCGATCGTGCCCATCTTGTCAATTTGCACTCGCCTCAGCGTGCGCGGGCCAGCAGGCAACGCGAACACCTTGACGCTAATCATTTTCCGCTTCTAGGTGCCAACGCCGGAGTGCAGACGCATGAAGGAATGTAAAGAAGCCAGGCACGCGAACACAGCCACACCCCTCACCAAGCCAGAGAGCGAGAGAAAAACAAAGGGAGAAAGAAAGAGAGAGAGAGAGAGAGAAGTGGGTGAAGCAGACAGCAGCGGTGAGTGCAGTGGCATTCGGCGCAGCATCCCGTGCTGCGTTGCAACCTCGACGACGGCGGAGGAAGACGGAGACGCTGCAACGCCCCTCCTGCGCGGCTGCGGGGCGGGTGGTTTGCGCTTCACAGTGTCCTCCCCGCGGCCGCGCCCAGTTTGGCCCGCAGGGTTCTTTCTGCGCCGCGCCACTCCGCAGCCGGAGTAGCGCGGGCCACAAAACTACGTCTATGGCGCCAGAAGAACAAAGATGAGAACATCATCGCGAAGAGAAGTTCCTCAAGTTTTTTGCGTGAATGTGCAGCGAGACGAGGCGGAACGCATTCCAGAATGGCACGCGGTTCGCGCCCTTCGCCGCCCAAGTGAGCGGCGGCGGGGGGGTGACGTTGAGGTAGCGCCGCCTTGCGGCTCGCCGGATCCTCGCGGGGGGCAGCAGGGCGCCGTCGAGGGCGGCGAAGCTGTACCACTGCCCAAAGGAGGCCGCGTCGAAGAGGTACGGCGGCAGGCCCATCTCCCTTGAGCTTTCGACAATGCAATTCTCGCCCGCCGCGTGCAACCACGCCGGAAGCTCGCCCATGTAGGCGGAGCCGAAAAGCTGGTAGTAGTTCATCATGTACGTCATGTCATTTGCGTACGGGTCCCGTTTCCGCGTCACCGCGCGGCTCACCGCGACCCCAAACCTCCTCCCGCAACTCAAGAAGTCATTCACGTAGTCAGCAAAGTGTTCGACAGACTCCGCATCCTTAACGTACACGACGCCAGGAACAAAGCCCTCGGCGGAGGGCGCCGTGCTGGCCATTCGATACCCGCACCGAGCAATCGCGCGGAGAACTCCCCTCATGTTTGCGTAAATCATGTTATCGTTCTCCACGTGAAGCACGTGGCGTAGCCGCAGCCGTCGCATGACGGCTGCCAAAACAAAGAAACGTTCCGTCACAAGCCGGTTGAACTGCTTGTTCCCCGTGGAACGGTTCCCACCCGGGTGCATAAAGCCCTGGATGTAAAACAGACTGCGATAACGCTCCAGCCGCGACGTCACAGCTTGGCTCGCCGGAATCAACGTAATACCCAGCGGCTCACGGAGGGCGACGATGCGTGGATCCTGCACGTGGGCGTCGTCCAGCACCAGAAACACCCGCGACTCCCTAGGCGAATGAAAGCACCGCCATTGCCGGATAGAGTCCAAAACGTACGACTGCCCCCCGGCACCATAAAACCTCTCCCCGGTGGCGACGTACACGACATCCACAGTTTCGATTTCGCCTTCCACATCCGCCGACGGTGTCTGGGAGAAATCAAAGCGGACTCTGCCATGCGCTTGCAGGAAACGCCCACGATCGCAGAAGGACGGCCGCACAGACGCCGTGCAGAGTTGCCCGCAGAGGCGGGCCACGACGCCGAGAAAACTGACGGCGCGGGCATGCCGACTCAAGTCGCACTCCACCACCGTCGCAGGAGGACGCTGTGGTGCACGCCAAAGATCCTCCTCGCCATAGAAGAGTAGTTCCCAGGAAAGAAGAGATACAACAAGGGCAAAGATGAGCAGCACCCATCGTCGACTCATTTCGCCATTTCCTTTTTGCGCCACGCATGCGGGCGTGCAGGGCAAAATTTCAACGGGAGAGAAAAGAAGAAGAATGGTAACGGCGGCCAGCAGCAATGACGACTCCCTACGCAACGTGCGCTTCGTAATGTCAAGCAAATCGCACAACCAACCAAACACACACACACAAAATATGCAGTCAAACGGAAAACAAAACAAAAAGTAGACCTTCACGACGGTGCTCCTCTCCAGTCGGGCTGCCTCCTTCCAATTTTGTATGTTTGCCCATTCTGTTCTCACCCGTACTCTTGTTAATTCTTCTCGGCCGCCCTCCCCTCCCTCGCTCCCTTGTGTTTCGTTTTTTATTACACGATGAGGAGATACACAGACCGCAAACGTATTGCACGCGCGTCACTTTCCCAGCCATCCGCACTCACGCCGATGTTTTTGTGGCCTTGGGTGTCGCCAAAGCCTCAGCCGCTGGAGTCGCGGCGTCTGCGTACTGCAGGGCAACCTGCTGTCTTCGCTTATGCACCTCCTCAAACTGACCCACCGTGGTGCAAATAGATTCCCACAGGCTCCAGAAGATGCAGCCGTGACTGCTGTTGGGATCCTGCAACTTACAGCAGGCATCCATGACAGTGTGCGCCGTCGCCACGTTGTCCGTGCGTTTCTCCACTGCGGCCCACCAGAGTGCCACCCGCTGCACAAAAGGAGCATGCAGATGTGGCCGTTGAAGCAGCTTGGCGCAATACTGGCGAAACATTTGGCTTCCCTGAAGTGTGAGGGTGACATCCAGGACGGTGTCCGCAAGGCACAGCAAAAAACCTTCCGCAACACCGCCACATCGCTGCACCGCCTCGAGGCAGTCTTGGGCGACCTTGACTGCAGTGTCGAAGAGCCCCAAGCGAGACTCCAGGGCGGCGCAATTAAGTAGGTACTCCACCGAGAAGGCCGGACAGAAATGCAGCGTGCGCGGAACGGCTTCCAGGCCCAGTCGCGTAAGCTCACGGAGGCGGTGAAGCGGTAGCTGCTCCCCACGGGACAGACACAAAGAGCTCAAGTACTGCTGCAGAACGTACAACATTGCCACCGGCGCGCCCTTGAACGCGACCAGAGCCCGCTCAAACTCACGAAACGCATCATGCGCGTGGCCGCTGTGCCAGAGTCGACCAGCCACATAGCAGGCACCCTCCGCCGAGTAGGCAGCGGAGTTGTTATACGCGTCGATCACGTTTGCCAGTGTTTCCGCTGACGCATCATCAAAAGCGACATCCACAGCTAGCATCCACGCCCGAGAATCCTCTTGTAACCCGGTCACCACCCCACCTTTAACCAGTCCCCTGGATCGGACGGGGTTGGATGCGTTAACTTCCTGAAGTTTTGAGAGAAGTTCACGCAAGCAATCCTCTCGAGTGGAGGACATCAGCATAAACTCAACAAGCAGCCCCAGCAAGAGCAGATTACCCGTGGTCGAAGAAAAGGAAATATGCCAAGCGGCATCCTTGAGGAGGGCAATCGCGTCCCTCCTGGAATCGCTATCCCAGAGATAACACGCGTAGGATTCAAACAGCTGCGCTACCTCCAACTCCACCAGCTGAAGCCCGGAGCTGCACTGCGCAATGGCCTGTCGATAGAGCGCAACCACGTCGTCGTGAGAGGCTCGATTGTCGCACATCATTTCTTGCAGCAATTCAACGCGCTTTAGCCACATGGCAGTGTCCCGACGATTTTCTCTAAGCCGAACTTGATTTAGTAGAAGTGCGTGCTGCTGAGTGAGGCGGAGCAGGTGACTCAAAGGATCACGCGTGTCACCGCAGAGTTTTTCCACGATTAGTTGGCGCTCCGCAGTAGTGCAGGCTTGAATGGACGGATCCATTGCTAGGGAGTCAACGATCTGATCCTCAAACGCCACCGCCATGCTGAAGGCCCTTGAGAAGATCGTGGGGTCGTCCGCGTTTTCGAGCAGTGCCCAAAGTGCCACCCGGGCCTTTGCGAACTCCCCTTGGCCAGCCAGGAACACGGCGTGTGAGATTTTAAACTCCGCAGCAGAGGCGCAGTACTCTGCCGCCACCACCACCAATTTTTCTATTTGTGCAAGGTCTCCGCCAAAGCGCAAGTCCTTCGTCTCGAGGGCGAGGCGTGCCGTCTCCCAGAAGGTTGTGTCTCGCAAGAGATCCTCGTGCGGGGCACCATCGAGGAGGAACGCAGCACACTCTGTGAGAAACTCACCTGGGCTTCCTTTTTCCCACAACATAAGGAAGTAATCGCGTTGGTTTGCGGCACGTGGGTCAAACAGGAGGTACAGCCGCCACAAGTACTTTGCCGTCTCGGCGGGTACGTGGGGCTGCTGCGCCCAGCGCTTTGCGAGGCGCCAGACGCGGTGGTGCTGGGTCACCGGAAGAGCCCGCAGCGCCCGAAGGATGGTGTGCCGGACGAGTGTCAGACGCGGGGGCACGGCCGCGTCCATCAGGAACTCCAGAAAAGACACCCAGAGGAGCGGCATCATGGGCAGCTTATCAACGGCTCGGTCGTAGATGTCTCGCAGCGCCCTAAACCACTCATGAGACGAGGAGAGCCCCTTCGTCTGCTCCTGGCGGTACGCAATGTACCTCATCCAGAGCTTGTACGAGAAGCCGTTCGCTCTGAGGGCACGCTCGTAGGCGATGTTTGTGGCGTTCGCCTTCGCGGCGCTACTCTCGAACTCGGCGCCCTGAATGGCGTGGACGAGCCGCAGCCAGGCCTTGACGGAGGCGGGGGCGCGCAGCACCTCCTGCTCAAGGGACTCCGCGGGAAGCGAGCCCATCAGCCGAGCAATTCCTGCAGGACCCGGCGGAACCCAAGAAAAGAGGCCGCGCGAGACCAAAAGGAAAAAATGAATGGAACCCACAGAGAGAGAGAGAAAAAAAAGGGGGGGAAGATATACGAAAAGGGAAATATAAAATAAAAAAAGAGAGCAGAAGTTGGAAACAAAACAAAAAAAGTAATAACAAATAGACAACAGAAAAAAGAAAAAAGAAAAAAAAGGACCGGACATTCCACACGCAACAGATAAAAAAACTTGGCGTAGAAGAAAAGGGAAAAGTCAATGGCGGCTACGGCTTCGAATACGCGAGAGAATCCTCCGGAGTTCCCCCAAGGAGACGGTCAGAAGCCTCTCCGCAAACTCCTCAGCAGAGATGCCACTTAGCTGAACGAAACGCGAGGAACTGAGAAACGTCACGGATGGCGCAAAGGAGACGGCAACAAGGTGCCTCGGCACATCCCCCGCCGCTGCTCCTGCCGACACCGACGCCACTGCAGTGTCGCGTAGCACTTCCACCAGATCGCCATCCTTTTCAAACTCACCGCTGCTGCTGCCGCTGCTGCCACCGCCGCTGCACAAGCCCACCAGTTCATCAACCTTTGAGAGGAAGGCGTAAATTCGCTGGCTTTCGGCATTACGCACCGAGCGACGGAGTGAGCCCCATATCGCTTTATACGCCATGCCTTTGATGTCTGCAAACTCGCCGACCACGACAACCGTGGCGCTTACGCCAAGCTGAAGAACTTCCTTCAAATCGTCCAGCTCGTCTTCCACCGCGCGACAAATCAATATATTTCGCACACGCTGGCTGCTGCGGAAGCCGTAGTCCTGCTCCACGCATAGCCGTGTGAGGGCGTTGCACATGGTTGTGCAGCCACACCCCGTGCACCCAGTTACAGCCACGAGATGCCTAAACAGATATGAGCAGCGAAGGTGAAATATCAGACAGACCGCCCACAACGCGGCGGACTCCAGTACAATCACGAGAGCGGCATTCTCCAGCGTTGGGGCGGAGGCAAGAAACAGGGGATGCACAAAGTGATAAAACTTTTCAAAGCTCATGTAGTGGTGAAGGCTGATGAGGTGATTTAGGTTGGCCATCCCACACGTGCTCCGAAGGAAGCGCAGGACATGTGTGAAGAGCGAAATCTCCAATAAAACAAGGGAAGCACCCGGCGCAGGGGGCGCCTTTTCAAGCACGCTCCAGAGATAGCGTAACTTATCCCGGTACTTTGTGTCACTCATCCAGGGAAGACCCTGGTGCAGTCGCTGCTTCCACGTCGCCAGGCCAGAGAGCAAACTGGACACCGCCCGCTTTTTGCTGTGGACGTACTCCCCCAGTTTTCTCTCAAGGACTCGCTCACTCGTGGGTGGGGCCTCAATGGCCATTGGAGTCATTGCCTGCGACACCATGCTGGAGCTCGACACCTTCGCCGCCACATTGGCCACAAAACCTAACAAACCGGCACTTTGCTTCTTCACTGCGTAGTAGCTCGCCACCTCGCCGATGCTGGCAAGGGCCTCGAGTAGCTCGGTGGAGGTTTGCCGCGGCAACTCAAACTTGCGTGGCTCCTTCAACGTTGGGGTTGTGAGAAGCGGTTCAATAACGATGGCGTTATCAATGAGATTCGTCGGATGCGAAAAAATCCACGCGTGAGGGATTTTGCTTCGATCTTCAAGAAAGATCAACTCGGCGACATCCGCCGGAACATCGATAGTGTAATTCACGTACGAGGTGCACCCAATGTCTGTGAGGAGCGCAAAGTCGACTCGCAGTCGCCGCAGCGGCTTTAGTCGCCTAGACGACTCCATGCTTAGCATCCCCACCAAAGAGAACGTGGCGCCTATTTGTCGCGGGCCCACACGTGTCACAGAGACCTGCGTGGGCCAGCCACCGTGCGAAGACGCGCAGAGTTGTGGCCGGTACTGCAGGTTGGCGCCCGTGATGTGGAGACACACCATGACGCCGTCCTCCACCGTGTGCGCCACCGCCTTGATCGCGGGCAGCAGTGCCGCCTCGCCCCCCGCAAGAAGCAAGCGACTCAAAATGCGGAGTTGCTGCGAGACATCAATGTGCTCGTGGCACTCATCCTCGCAAAGCGTCTCCAAACCAGAGCAGCGCGTGCGCAAGTAGTAGCGCCCCTCTTGCAGATCCAGACGAGGCCCACAGCGCACGCCAAGAGGTGCATTGAAGTGCAGGGCCGTCTCAGTTGCGGCCGTCTTCCCCTTGACCTCCTGCCGCGGGGACGGTACGTTGTTGTAGCCGTTTGCGGGGTCAGGAGGCTCCAGGAGGCCGGTGTAGTGCAAAAAGTGGCCGCTGAACGCCAGGGTGGAGGCAAGAACCAGGGAGTCCTCAAAAAACATGCGTCTAGGCGACCCGTACGCAATACAAAAGACACGCGCCCGCTGCCCGGCAAGTGACTCGGGAACAGATGATATGAATATATGCGCCGCCAATGTGGCGGAGGAGCCCATCTCACCAATGCCGCAGAACACCGCGGACGCCTCTTCCTTCTCCAGCATCTCTTGAATGCCTGAGTGGCGCAGCCTCTCCCGCTGCCTCACAAGGGTCTTGGAACACACAACGAAGTAGTACACCGCTGAGGTGGGGATCGGCAGGGGCGGGTCGTCATAAACCGCCTTCACGATAATGCAGGCAAAACTAGACTCAAGCATACACACGGACGCTATGGTCGCCTTGACGTGATCCGATCCATCAGGAATCGCCTCGATGCACTGCGCCCCATTTGTGGAGAAAAGAAGACCATCAAGTATGCAACGGCATTCCATTGATTGTGTATGCAGCCAGGGCATTGCAGTCGTCACACCGGCGTTCATTGTACAATTGGTGGAACTGTACGCGGCAACGTCGGCGGAAACAGTGGCGCGGGCGACAATGCGGACATTGATGGCTTCGTTCGGGTAAACTACTTCCAGCACGGCGTGGCAATACGTCGTTGTTCCTGCGGAGTGTTCCTTGCTTGGGCTGTGGCTTGTTCTCCACTCCACCTCGTACGTCCACGAGAGTGTGCGGTCCACCTCTGCCGCCGCGGCTGCGGGGCGCGGAGGGTCCCAGCAGAGGAACACGCACGTCGGGTAGACGGCGCATACGACGGGCTCTCCCATCTGGTACGCCATACGGCACCCACCGTCCATCACGCCCAAGGCTGCAGTGCGCGCCGTATCCTATGCGGCAATGCAGGGGAAAGCAGGAAGCCGAAGCCGGGAAGGACACGTCAAAGGAGGGGCAACAAACAACAGAGTCCACGGACACCCCACGCAAGCTGCAGTAGTTTGTTTGTTTGTTTGTTTGTTTTTGTAAGCAAAAGCGAGCAGTAAACAAAAAAAAAACAGCTTTACACACAGAGAGAAATAGAGAAACGAACGTGGCTGAAAAAGGAGGTTGGCGTTTTCTGTTCTACTCCGCGGAGAGCAGAAAGGGGTGCACCACGTGCAGCTCCGCGCCGACCTCCAGCACAATCCCGCGGTAGTGCGCGGTGAGAGAGTGCGATGCGCCAAGAAACACCGGGACGGCCCTGTACACCATAAGCATCGCCAGATGGGCATATGAGACCATGCCGTCAAAGTCCCAGTCGAGGGCGCTGAAGTGGTGAAGAAAGGGCTCCCGGAGCAGCAGCAGGCCTTGCCTCGTGCACTGGCGGAACACCTTATCGTCGCGCAACAGCAGTGCGACCTGGAGCGTCTCCAGCCACAGGAGGACGACCAACTCCACCACCTTGCAGTACAACTCAAGAGGCACGCTGCGCAGCAGCTCCAGCCGCTCCGGCAGCCGCAGGCGGAGGGAATACAATATAATAAACGGGATCCACTCCTCAACAGGAATACCTGGCGAATGCGTTACGGCCATTTGCGGGACACTTTCTAACGAAATTCCACGGTGCGTCGCAAATTTCTCAAGGTAGGTGTCTATAATTGTCTCCACATTCTCATCGTGAGACTGCAGTAATCGCACAAGCCGCATCGTCAGCAGCGGAGTGGGACAGGTCGTTAATAGGGAATGCACCAACGAGATAAGCGCCGGTGCTCCATCACGCTGCCCCACAAAGCGGAGGTACTCAACCCAGAGATCGGCCAGCCCAACGACTGAGCGCACAGGGCACTTGACAAGAATCTGGTCCAATAGCTGGGCGTCGGCGGAAAACGCATGCATGAGTGAAAGGTGCACACGAGACCGCATACATTCTGTCAACGCCGTATCGATGCCCGCAGAGGCGCACAAGGTGAGTAGATTCAACTGCCGCGACAGCAGCCGTCCGCACTCCTCCTGTGGACGATGGGGGAAACCCTCGCCAAGTGAGAACGCAACATCAGAGATGGACGCCAGTGGAAGGACCCCCACCCCCTCCAATCGCTTCGTCTGTCGAAGAACAACCAGAAACAAGGTTAAATTCTGCAGTGCAAGCGGCAAGAGGCAAATGCGACCCGGCAATTCCACCACTGCCTCAAGAAGACCTGTCGCCGCCTCGGGGTCGGCAGGTGCCACATGGACGCATGTCATGGCAATCATATACGCAACGTACCGCGCCGTCACCTCGCACCATTGCGTGTCTTGATGAGAATACGTCGCGACTGCCGCCTGGTCGGAAAGCAGCTGCGCCGAAGACAGGCAAACTTCCACGCAATCCGAGACAGCACAGCCGGACTTTAACAGGACGGAGAGGTAACTGAGTCGGATAAATGGGGAGGTGGGAAAGAGGGCAAGCCCGCGCGTTGCCAGCCAAAGCAAGCGCTCTGTCGTCGTCCCCGCAACGCGCATGAGACAGCGCCACGCAAGCGCATCAGCATGCTGCTTAAATAGCGCTGTTGCTGCGAGAACAGAGTTCGACTTTGACTGAAGAATCTGTCCCCATAGCATGTGCTCCTTTGAATTGCGTAGTAGAGACGCCACATGCTGCAGTGAGAAGTTTGGCGGCGGCAGAAGCGGTGCATCCCACGTGGGGGACTGCTCTTCTCCCAAGAGCATCGCGGCCCATCCGAGCTTTGCAATGCGGTTAAGAAGATCCCGGTGCAGCTGTACAGCCTCCACCAGGTCATTCGCGGCCTCGATCGAGGCATAAAAGCTTGCCAGCATGGATGCTGCGTCGCAGATGGTGCTGTGCCCCTTGACGCACATCGCAGCACGCGTGAAGAGCTCCATACAGCCAAGTTTCACGTGTTCCAGCTGATTGCGGTGCCAGTAAGGGCACGCGGGGTTGACGCAGCGCCGCCCCTCCGTCTCCATCAGACACGCCTCATCAAAAAACACGGGCTCTGTTACTTCCCTAACCGTCATCGCCGTATCCCCCGTCGTCGTAAAGAGCGGGGCGTAACTGGCGAAAAAGCGGCGTCGCGTTTCCTCGTCCGCCGTAAAGCATGACAGCATTTGTCCCCATGTGTCGATGCCGCTGACACTAAGAGCGCAGGAGGATGCCTGAAGATCCGCTGCACCCGAGAATCCACAAAACTCCTGGTTCCCTATGGTTTTCTGCACAATCAGCTGCTCCCCGAGGCGGTCGTGGACATAGCTCAGGTTCATCGCTTGCTTTTCTTCCTCATTGATCTCCTCCGCCATGCGCTGGCGGCGCCGATCCATCTCAGCCAGCTGCCTCCTCTTTTCCTCTAGCGACCGCTGCCTGAGAGCCACCGCCCCCTCCATGTTGGTGTGTTGTCTCTCTAACACCTCCATGCGCTCCGCGGGTGTGCCGCCCAGACGACCGCGGTCCTTCAACTGCCTCTTCAACGCAGGGTGGATCCAGTCTTCCGGCACCCGGGTCTTGGGGGGCAGCGGGTCCATCACTCTACGAGAGCCCCACCCTGGAGGTTGGGAAGAGGAGCAGAAAAAGTGTGTGTGTGTGTGAGAGAGAGAGAGAGGGAGGGGGGGCAAAAAAGAGCGGGTAGCAGCGAGAGGGCAAGAACCGCGGCTAGCGAAGCCGCTGCTGCGGCAAACACTTCGCCCGCATTACTATTTCATTTCGCATCCTTGCGGTGGCGCCGCGACGCTGCGGCAGCCCACAAATGACCAGACCATAACCTACACAGGCACAGAAAGAGATGCAATGCAGCCTCGTAAACTCTTCTTCGCCATACGCTAAAACGAAAAAAGAAAAAGGAAAAAGAAAAAAATACGTTCGGCCTTGCGGCAGGGAGGATGCTGAAGCCAGGAACGTATTGCGGCGCCCCGTTCCCTCTCTCTCCCGCGCAGACTCCCTCGCCCTTGGCGCCGCCATATGGGAAATAGGAGGCACGCCAAACTCTCTGTTTCCTTTTTCTCCCCACTTTTCCTTTCTTTTTCTTGTGTGTATTTGTGTGTCTTCCCCTTACTTGCTACTCCTCAACGTATTCTTCCCCACACCCGGTCCCACCCCCTCTTTCTACCTCTCTCATCATGTTACTCCACGTGCGTGGGAGGACGCGGAGAGTTATTATTACTAGCCACATTTGAAGCTTCCACCCCGTCCCAACCCCCTCCCCCAAACCGACAGACTCCTACCCCCCGCCCCCAGCCACAAGCCAGCACACAGCGACAACGTGTGTATGTGCGTGTGTGCGTGTGTGTGAGATAGAGAGAGAAAGAGAGCGCGCGCACGCAAGTGCGATCCTATTACACGAGCCCTACCCTCTCACCATCCTACTCCTCTACGGAAGACGCGAGGAAAACTACCGAAGACACTTCCCCAGTGACGACTTTCAGAGAGTTGGAGACACGGCCTCCTTGCGTTGGTCCTCAAGCTGGCCCACGACATACGCATATGCGGCGGTGCACTTCTTTACGGGTTCAAAGTGATTTAACATAAAAGCGGTGAGAACTATGGTGAGATAGATGTAGGAAAACACAAAGCAACCACGGCAATGTGCCTTTGGCATACAGTGAAACAACCACGCCTTGTAAATCATAACACCGTTGGCGACGGCTACCGCAGGATAGTACCATCCCTCACAGGGAATTCCTATCAAGGCGGGGCCCGCAAGTGTAATCCCAGCCATGGCAAGAGACATCAAGACGGCATAAAAGGAAGCACGCCAAGGGCTATAGAACGCCAACATTTTATAGCCGGCAGCTTCGTAGTCACGGCGGCAATGAAAGCTTAGTCCCATAAAGTGTGGAATCTGCCAAGCAACAAGCAGGGCACCCAAAAGCCAGGCAGGGCTCGTCACGGTCCCTGTTGCAGCGATTCCGCCCATAAGCGGAGGGATTCCACCAACAATGGAGCCTACCCATGTGTTTATGGCAGAAACACGTTTAAGTGGCGTGTACACGGCAACATAAACGCACCAATTAAAAACTCCAAGAGCTGCCATCGGTGGACTGACGAGGCATAGAATGCCAGATCCAACCAACAGCTCCAAAGCAGACAGGGCTGCGGCACTTGTGCAGGTTATGTAGCCCATAGGCATGGGACGACGGCAGGTTCGCTTCATCTTCTTGTCATGCTCCTTCTCTATTATTTGGTTCGCCGTGTTTGCGGAACAGGACTGCAGAAGCGTCCCGGCAGTTACTGCCGCCGCCACCACCGCGCTGGATCCACCACTCATCACATATCCAGCCACCGCCGTCGCAGTGACGAAGGCGGACAACCGCAACTTCCCCATCTGTGCCACTATTTCCTGCGCAGGCAGCGTCCTCACGTATTCCTCGGTCTCCATTGGGCACCGCAGCGGCGGAGCGGCACCCATGATGGGACAAGCGACCGTCTCTGTCCGCGTTGCCAGCGGTTTGGCCTGCGCCGTGCCCAACGCGGCGGAAAAGGGACAACATTTCGTCACAGGGGTGGTGGTGGACTGAAAAACCACGGCGCCGGAGCACCGAAAGCGAAGGCTCCTAAACAGGGCCCGTCGGATCATTCCTGCGCCCCCTCCCGCCGTCGCTCTAAAAGACACCTATGCCTCTGTGCGGGCATGCGCACACGCACGCAGATGGAGCAGATGCATCCAGCGAAAGACGGATGAAGATAAAGGCACACGAGCAAAAGGGAAGAATGACAAACGGAAAAACGT